TAAAAAAATTAATGTGACCTTGACCTGACCTTCGCTACGCAACCCAAGGTCAAACTGATGTGATCAGTAAATACATCTTTTTAAACGCCACAACTTTTATCTGAAACATTTTTTTCTAAAATGCTTAGTTTTCGAGATATTTCACCGGTCCGGGACTTTTTAAACACCCTGTATATATATATATATAAAATTAGTTTCAATATTTAGTACATTTTTCGCAATCGACATTAGTTAATGCTAAAGTATCAAATTAACGTAAGAGGTAATGATAATTTCTGTATGCATAATTAATTATTTAAATTTCCATGATCTTCTAAAGAATTTGTGGACATGCTTGCGAATTGTTGCGTTAAATTATTCATATTTCTGGTATTCAAAAGTGTCCTTATTTTCATACCTGTTTCTTTAATTTTGGGATTCCTAATTCGAGGTGAATCAATTTCGTAAAGGAATTTATTTAAAAAACTGTATATGCTCGGAGCAGTAAAGTCAAAGAATCTGTAAAACACCTAGGATAAAAGAAAAAAAATCAATATTGATTAGCTTTATAAATATTTTATAGACTATTATTTTATACTTATACTGCAATTTTAGACGAAATCGTAAAACTCGTAACTTTTTTTCGTAAGATTTTTTCGTAAGAACTTATAAGTAGATCTGCAATTCTATGCGAACCATATGTCATATGATAACTCGTAAATATCTCGTACAATCTTTTTTTTTTGTTTTTTTCGTAAGTTACTACTTTATGATTTTACGATTTACTCGTATATTTGCTTAGAATTGCAGCATTAATCTAAACTTATATTATCATATGTTATATCAATACATTGACAACCGATATGGTAAAATTACGTTTTCAAAGCTTGCAGTTTTAAAGTTTCATATTTTCTTTGAAACAAAAATTTTTGAAAGTAAATAATTTTTTTCGATATTAACGAAATTTCGCCAGTTACTCACGATTTTCTTTCAGTGCAACACCAACTGTCAATGTATTAAATTTATTTTTTTGTATATTATGCATATTCTATATGAGTTGTATATTTTAAAATTATATATAAATATGATTAATATTTAAATAAAATAAAAACCTTGAACTTTGTGCTCTGGGGATCTACTGTAAGTGCTTTCAGAAAATACTCCGCAGCATTTACTTTGTCGTCATACAGAGAGTAATAAGCTACAGCGATAGCTAGAAACATGGATATTTGCCGTTCTTTGACGGACCGTTCGTATTTCTTCAACATTCGTAGTAAATGTGGCAAAGGTTGCAATTCTCCCGTCTCCCAACCATATCTTATGTATGCAAGCTCTGCTACAAAGTTATTATGATCCGCAGCCTTTTTATAATACTTTAGCGCATCCTAAAAAAATTTATTTTGTATAGTTCTTATTACCATTAATTTCTCTTACTATCAGTACTAAATGATGACGATGTATCACTTTGTATTACATATTATTGTTGATCTGTTCTTTTTAGCTGAACTGGTGCAATAAGTTAGAATGAGATAAATATATTTTCTCTCGCTCTAACTTATTGCACCAGTTCAGCAGTGCAACTAAAAAGAACAGACCATGTATTACATATACACTCTACTGACCCTAAACTCTCCACATCCTTCATATAACATCCCAGTATAATGGAGAAAAGTCGAATTGTTCGGTGCCATTTCCTCTACAGCATCCAAACATTCTTTTGCTGACAATAACTCATCTGTATTGGTTATTCGTAAAAACATAAGAGCTAATTTTAACAGTACTTTATAACTGGAAGGTTTCAGACTTAACATACTTTTGGCCAACTTTAATACTTTTTTTTCATTAGCAACTTTCCTCATATAATAATTTTCATTTCTTTCATACTTGTGAAATTTTTCCATACACATTTGTAAGTAATATATCCCAAACACAAGATTATCAGAGGATATAGCATATGCTAGTTCAAAATGCTTTTCTTCTAAACTTGTCACCTCAGATGAAAGATTTAAGATACGTCTTTGGCGTCTGAGATTCTTTGCAAGAATAAAGTGCCATAATGCACAGTCTTGATTCATTTCTATTGCTTTCTTAGCATTATCTACTGCCATATGCATTCCATAATCATGTAAACAAGACCACACGACACTTTGACAACCATGCAAAATACCAATCTCTTCAGCACTGAAACTATCAGTGTTGATAATATTGTCTAATATTTCTTTTAATTCATCCAAATTCTCTGTCTCATACAGAAAGAAACATTTCGTAGCATAGAAAACATGCTCTATAGCCCTTATTGTTTGAGATAAGTTTGTCCTACAACAATATTCAACAAAATAGTTATAGATCAAAAAATTTTTCAAAAATTTTAGATATATGTATACACTAGTGTCCCATGTCTTACTCTCGTTGAAGCTGCAGCAAAAAATCTTCAGCTTTTTGAATATCTTGTGCTGTATTGTCATCTTTGCTTAATGTACCTTTATAACATTTAAGCAAAGTTCTCATCAACATTTCCAATGTGCAAGCTTCTTCATCATCTATTTCATTATCTTTACTGTTAAGGTGTGTCATATTGTACCTTATCACACTATCCAGTATATCCCAAGTAAATGGACAATGTAACTTTGAAAGTTTTTCTTTTGTGCTCATTTCTTCTGGCTCAAACTGTGCCATTTTCTTAAAAAACCAATAGAAACTTATGATTATCGGTGAAATATTCACAAAGATACTTTGAACTAAACCAAACTGAAGCGAAACACAAACTGAAACTAAGATACTCTAAAGTATACTACTGATAACCGCACTATCACCGCATAGTGACAATGATTCAATGTGGCCATATTGGATTATGACGTTTATGATATATGATATGTGATATCCTTCAACAATAGCTGCATTCAGCAGAAAAAGTAACTTTCTAACTGTTGGAAGATTTCCTGTATAACACTATTAAGCAGTTTCTCAATATGTTAATTATACAGTTATTATCTTTTTCAATATCTTAAAAATATGTTTAATATTTTGGATAACGTAATTGCTTCTTCAATTATCGGAAAGAATATTCGATAGAAACTTCTAATTGCAAATGATAATGTATCATAGTGCTAGACTATTACTAAATGCAGCTAATATATGTTTACGCAGTTGAAATAAATTAATATTTTGACATGTTATTATTTGATTTGAATGTACAATTAGCTATTAATTAAAAAAAAAGGATAAAAAAGAATATATTCTTTCTTTATTATTCTATTAAAAACGGAAAATGAAAATTCCTTTATACTTACGAATATGATGAGTTGAAACAAATATATTGCACGTATAGCGAATAAATATTCCACAATTGCGGATATAACGCTTCTTTTTGCGTGCATATAACATCAGAATTTGTTTTCGTTTTTGTACTTCCGATTCTTATTTTTTTTAACACAGAACTGCGACTCTGGGTGCGTTCCGTTTCACACATAATGCGCATGAAGCGCAGCGTTAAGCTGGTGGCACATAGAAAAACTTAAGCAGTAAAACGTAAACAGTAAGCAAATTGACCAATCACAGTCATTAATTTTTCTTAATTTCAAGAATCATTTGCTTACTGCTTAAGTTTTCTGTGTGCCACGGCCCTTAGAGTGACAGAGATACGAAAGTAAGATAAAATGAGAGGGAGAGCACTCGGGTGAGGTTCTCGAACCTAGGTTAGGTTAATTCTCGAACGCATGAACTGTCTCAGCTCCGAGGTAGTGCAGTCCATGCGATCTCATGCGTTCGAGAACTACCCTAACCTAGGTTCGACAACCTCACCTGAGTGCTCTCCCTCTCTTTTTATCTCACTCTCGTATCTTTGTCACTTTAACGCTGCGTTTCATGCGCATCATGCGTGGAAACGGAATGCACCCTCTGATACACGTGACGAATCTAGAAGCATTTAATCTGTTCTTTTCAGCTGCACTGCTGAATTGGTGCAATAAGGTTAAAGTGAGAAAAGTATATGTTTTCTCACTCTAACTTATTACACCAGTTCAGTAGTGCAGCTGAACAGATCAACTGTTGCACTGAGTGCACTTTTTTTAAATTCAGTTTAATGTTATAGCCCTGAACTGTCAGTAATTCATAATTTAAAAAAAATGTTCTCCTTTTTAGATAATGAATATGGAATAATTGAGATTAGTAGAATCAAGTTTCACTGATAAGATAACAATATTGATAAAATGCTTCATAGTCACTTATTATTATCAATTAATTTTACAATATCCAAGAGAATGCAATTTACACATTTTGTACAAGCAATAAATTATATTAAATAATTATCACTATGCTAACTCTGCTAATTATGTTACATAAATTTATAAGTTAAAAAAGATTTCAGGACTTATATATAAAAGCATTTTTCATATACAGTGTCCTATTTGATGAACACATTTGAATATCTGTTAAACTGAGATATTGAGATTGCGTTTTTTTGAAATTGAATACTTACAAAAAGAATATATTTTGATAAAAAAAGAATTTGACCTTAGATTGCTTTGAATTTTTTTAATAGAATAATATAGTTTTTTTAATATAAATCGATTCCTCATATCATTTTGCACAAGATTGTCAAAAGAAGAATATTTTCTTTAAAATATTTTACATTTTATCCAGCTAGATTTTGTAATATAAGATATGAAATATTTTGTTGTCACTTTTCAAAGATTCATTTTATCATTTTTGTACATAGAATAACGAGGAATTGATTAATAATATTAATCTCTGCACATTGTTGCATCAATATAAAATATAATAAAAATTTTTTCATATATATCTACGCTTTTTTTCAATTATTTCCGTTATTCTGCAATTAATTATTCTATGTTCTTTCTTAATAACGTAATATCAAATATTTGTATCAAATTAAGTTCTTGCAACTATATAACTTTGAAAAAATAGGATCTTAATATCTCATTGATTAAAATAGGACACCTTGTTTATTTAGAATGATATATATTTCTTAATAAAATAAAATATGAAAAGAGTACTTTTATATATATATATATATATATATATATATATATATATATATATATATATTTTTTTTTTTTTTTTTTT